TTCCCTACATTTTGCAGTAACTTGTGTCATGATTGAAGAAATTAAATGAATTTTTTTGCCATTTTTGTGTAGTTAACTACTGCAACTACAAATAACTCTGGCCCAAGAAAGGAAAGGATGTTTTTATTCTTATTTTACCATTGTTACTCTAATTGTAACTGCCTTTTGGATAAGAACACAGAGAGACTCCTTGTGTTGTATAAACAAGAGATTTCTCTGTAGGCCCATTTAGACCAGTGTTCAAGCTGTTCATATGTCTAAAAGGTTTAAGTTCTAGACTCTTTTATATGCTAAGTTTATACAAGTCAGATGTTGCAAAAGTAACACAACAGACTCATATTTTTAGACCATCTCTCAAGTCACTCAAATGATCAAGGTGCACTCATATAAATTGTTTAAAAGAAATATACAATCACCAGCCACTTTATTAGGTACACCTGTACACCTGTATGCATTTCAGTGCAACACTTCCACCTTAACATCTGTGTTTATGAAGCTCAAAATGTTTCAGATTTTGGTGAAATGGTCATGAATGTGTAAATTCAATTGTATGGTTATTAGTGAGGTCATAGTTTAAGGTGGTGTTGTACTGTACAGAAACATTGGGGAGGGACATATGTACATCTATGCCCATGTATGGACTTCATTCATTCCATCCCTAGTAAAAGGTTCTGTGGCCGTCACAGAGCATCATGTGGCAACTTCCTATTGAGTAGCATGCTGGCATGGTAAGATGCTGCAGGGCCAGATGAGACATAATGTGAGTTCATCAGGTTGCCACACGGGTCAACAGCAGTGTGTGAGTCACAGAAGGCCTTCTCATCCTCGAGCTGTACCACTTCAAGCTCTCTGAGACAGTGGAGTGGATGTGGTGTGAGGCCGGCGGTGTGAGGCTGTAGAGTCCAGACTGACCATCTGTGATGAAGTGTGCCCTACTGGATTTAAACTAGTCATCTTGTAGTAAATAGTAGCTAATGTGACTTGATAAGAATACACTGATACGTTTTGAATGTTAATTTTATGCTTAAAAAACTGAGGTAAGGATTCCCATTAAATACTAAACCTGCCTGTCTGCCTTGCCTTTTAAAAATGTAACCACATACACAAGTATTTTCAAATTATGCTTTGCAAGGTGCATTTTTGACTCTGACTGTGAATATCAACCTGCTACAATAATGTGATACAGCACATGCACTCAACATTACCCATGGTCTAAACATGAGTAGGTTGAGGCCGATTTGTTTGGCTATTACCAGCCTGACCAGTGTTTGATTGTTTGTTGTGTCTTGTTGCTTTTCTTCTTTTGTCTCTCCTCTATCCACTCACCCCAACCGGTCGAGGCAGAAGGCCGCCCACCAAGAGCCGGGGTCTGTCGGAGGTTTCTTCCATTAAAGGGAGTTTTTCCCCCCCACTGTCGCCAAGTGCTTGCTCAAGGGGGATCTGTTGGGTTTTCCCTATGTAATAATAGTGATAACAGTAAGGTCTAGACCTTACTTTGTAAAGTGTCCTGAGATGACTTTTGTTGTGATTTGGCGCTATACAAATAAAATTTGATTTGATTTGAACTGGCAGACTAACCTGCTATGTAATATAATATAAGTTAATGTACTGAATTGCAATGATGCAATTTTGGTAAAATATTTCAGACAAGCATGGGCACATTGTTTGAGTAGCATATATTTATTATAAAAACCATTATAGATTCAGTATAAAACTGTGAAACAGAAGAAACATTCACAGCAGATCAAGACTGTTAATCATGTTTCCCATATTTGTTTATAGTTCTAGCATGCTGCCATGTAACTGAAATAGCACTAAGCACAGAGTACCGGTACCACTGATGTCATTAGCTCTGCATTCAATACTAATCCACCAGCCAAGGATCACCACAGTTATTAGGGCGACATTAGTGTGTGTGCCAATTTTAAAGCCATGAGGCATTTCATTTTGAACCTCTAATGTTAACCTCACAGTAGATCACCAGGTTTTAGAATACATCCTCTGGAAACTGTGACTGTCTGTACCCAACTTTGTGCCATTCTAACTGCTGGGATATGTCAGTTGTAAGGAAAATGACTGACAATCTAAGCTATGGTCACTCTAATATAAAAGTGCTTGTGCGCATTTGAAAAAGCAGGGACTAGAGTAAAGACTAAAGACTGGTGGTGGGCTGTTGGAGCTGCATCATAGCTCAGGCACAGGTGCATGAGAGGCCAGTTCAGATGGTATTTTTGTAAATGCATTCTTATTCCTGTGTTTTGTTGTTGTTGTCTTGCGTTAAAAACTTGAGCCAGCTTCAGCCAATTTAAAACACGTTGGCCTCTGACTTAATCTGTGAGCCACGATCACTACCAGACAGCTAAAAGGTAAAGGACTAAAGGCCCATTTGCAGCACAGTGAATAGTTATTCCCCACCTCCCACAGAAATGTTAATCTCATCCAAATGGGGCTTAATAATATGAACCAACAACTCAACATAAGATGGTGGATAAGTGAAAACTTTGACCTGCTGGTAAATACAAAAATCAGATTGTCACCAAAGTCATTAGGATTCATCTTCTACTGTAGGCACCATGAATGACTGGAGGATATTCAATGGCAATTTATCTGATAGTTAAGTTATTTTATTAATAAACAAAAATGTCAACTTCAACGTTAGAGAAAAAGTCAGGGTATAACCACACTCACTAATGTCCATCCTCTGGGCAGCGTGAATGGCAGTACAAATGTACATGGCAGTACATTGGCAGTACAAAACCATCCATCCAACTGGTCAGTCTGGAACAAACTGGTGGACTGACAGACCATCACTGTCGTCGCTCGGTCACACTGTGTCTGAAAAGGTCATGTAGCAGAAATACTTTCTTCATACAATACTCTGTGGTTTCTCTTTGGGTTGAAAGAGCAGTGGGCACCAGAAATGTAGCTGATAAGAGAAGGAAAGAAAAACTGAATTACAGATGACATTCCAGTCTTTTATACCCATAACACACTCACCATTCTCTAGTGCAAACCTTAACAATTAGTGATGTGAGTCTGTGGTCCTGTTTCTCCCTCTTCCCTTTTAATCTCTTCCTCAGGATTTTGGCATGCAGGTACCTCACTCTCTGCTCAGCAGCGGTGGCAAAGAATCGCTCACAGACCATCAGCTGGAGCCGGGCCACTTTGGCAGCCATCGAGGCCATAATGAGCAGGATGAGCAGGATGGCAGCCAGTGGACATATGGAGTTATAGAGCAGCAGCTTGGGTTCAGGAAGGCACTTCCTCTCGAACAAGGTCACAAAGTAAGAAAAATCTTTTTGATAATTTTCCTCACTAAATGGTATTCCGATTAAAGTTGAGATGCCCTGTAAAGATAAATGAAAGTGCAGTCAGAGGCAGTCTGGCAAAACTAAATGTAGTATGTCCTTAAAATAATTTCACCAACATACTCACTCTGATGCTCGTTAACAAGGGGACATGGAATGGTTCCAGCTCAGATAACCTTGTGGTTACAATACCAACAAAACAGTACAATAAGGCATCCACTGTTATAAATGTGACCCAAGCTACAAAGTGGGAGACGATTGGAACACCGAACTTCAGCACAGCTTTCCTCTCTCTGGTAGTGGGACAGGCAGAGGGGCCGGTGTTGTACAGCTTCTTCTCCTCTGGCGTAAGGGGGAGGACGTGGGGCTTTCCTTCTGCCTTCTGCTTCTCATCGAAAAAAACAAACCTACTGCTTATGAACCTGTTTTTGTATTTCATGTCATTGCGGTATTTTTTTATGTGCAAGGCCATAAACAACATGAGCACAAGGAAACTGATGGCGGGGAACAGCCTGTCGGTCACCGAGGAGACTGTACTCAGGAGGGACTGTACATATTTTACAGTCTCATTCAGCTTCTGCTCTGCTTCACTGAGTTTCTCTCTCAGTTGTTCTGATTCCAGTCTGGGTGAAACCCTGAGCTGGGAGTGAAGGTTCACTACTCCTAGGTCTGTAATCCCTTTGAGCATGTCTCCTATCCAGTTCAACAAATTGACATAGTTACTGAATGGAGTAATGATAGAGGCTTTTTTTGCCTTCAGGTTGCAAATCATACTCCTCACCAGGCCTGTGAGGTTCTCCAAGGTGTTGCGGATATTTTTAACAATCACTAAACTGGTTCCGGCGGTTAGCAGCAAGTTCCGACTCTTTTTCATGAAAATAGAGATCACAAATAGAGACACTAAGCATCTCACTCTTTTTGATAGGAAGAGAGCGACAATAAGTAATGTCCCAAAGCAGCCACTAATCCCTCCAGCCACTGGAATCTCATAGTCCAGGGTGAAAAGGAGGTACAGGAAGAGGAGTGAGCTGAGCAGGAGGCTGGAGAAGCTACAGGTGAGCAGGAGGATGAAAGTTCTTTGAAAACCATCCCTTTGACCAGTTGTGAAAACATCCACTGCCTGAAAACCAACATCCTCGAGGCTCTGTTTTATTGCAGTCCATAAGAGTAGCATCCTGGATTTTAAAGGAGAATCTGTGGCAGAGCACAACACTGTGAAGCAAAATTGGAAAGAACGAGGAGGTTAAAAAAACACTGAACTAAAAAAAAAAAGCATATAGATCAGCCTGTGTATTATAAGTGAAGTCAAAGAAGATTCATGTTGAATTTGATAAATCTGTACATTTAAGCTTTAACCGAAGGCAATCACAAAGGACAAACCTGCTAAATAAATTTTGGTACATAGTCTCATGCACACAGTCTCCTTAAATACAGCCAAAACGGGAACCTGCCTGTCACCAAACCTCAGCCATTCGTCATTTCTCAGTCATCCCTATTTTTTGAACCAAAAGCAGAAGCAAACAAACCTAGCATGAGGCTGAATTTTGACAGTATGTAATACTGTTGTGCTTTGGTTTAAGAATCAAACATTTTATTAAGGTATGCAGAGCTGCCTATCGCTAAGTACGGGTTGGTGTAAAACCTGAAGGCATTCAAGCTACAGCAAACAGGTATAAGCAAAAAAATAGTTTTTAAAAGGAGTGACTGTGGACAGCAATAAGCAAACATGAGTGTGAGAATTAGTTACATTGTTGTAATATTGCCATATTGTAATGTTTTTGAATAGTAGTACAATAATTATAGTTAATCCGACAGCTGCTTCTGATGATTTCAGAGCAGATTTTTCCAAAGAACTAACAAAACCCTTCACAAAAGCTGCTGGTGAAGAGTCAGTGTGAAGGTTCCTGAGAGGAATATGAAACTGTCATAAATAATAACTTAAACAGAAATGAAAGAATGAATGACCCTTTCTGTGTTTAGTTTTAATGTAGGGTTCAAACAGAAAATCTTTGAAACCATGCTGAAATGAAACTATCTGATCACTGGAGCTGTAACGCACTTGCCCCTGAGCTTTATTCATGAAGATGATTGTGTCAAAAACTAAGCATTTGCACGACCATATTGTCATGACTTTAATAAGCAAATTTCACTTTTCAGTTTATTTTAAAAGGGAGTTTCACTCTTATGTATGAAGTTTAGTTTAGTGGCTTGATCAGATAGCAGAGTTATAGAGAGTTCAGATTATTAGAAAGCCTGCAGTGCAAAGTAGGTTTAACTAAGAAAATATGCTGATGACTTGCATTATGTGGAACATAGTTCCCAGCATCATCGTAGCTTGATCTGTCTTGAAAAAAATCTGCCTATCTGCCAGTTCTTTGTTCATGTGTGTTTCACGCACTTGCCAGAATTGTGGAAGTGAAATAAGATCTGCTGCAGTGTTTCCTTTACTTCTTACATAATTTCATTGAAGGTTTTATAAAGAGCATATTGTATACTTGTGTGTGAATATGTGTGTTCATCTTTCATCACCCAACACTTGGCATCAGTGTAATATTAATTTTTTTTATTTTTAATTTGAAAAATAACTTACATAAATCTCTGTACTCAACCATACTTTACCAAGACATAGCCTTGGCATTAACACATTGCACCAAGAAGACAAAAAGAAAAGGCATTCAAGGATAAATAACTTATGTCTTTGTTATCACATGAGGCATTTTTCCTGTTCCAAAGGAGTCTATCAGTCTATTCATGGTAGTGTGTTTATTCAAATTCTGACATCTAAAGACATATGCAATGAAAATTGAAATGAAAATATATATATACTGTAGCTTGTAACAATGTTTTCTTGGGCGTTAAAACACATTTACGTCGTGTGGAAAAGAAATAATGCCTCAGTTCAATTTCATTCAGACATACTGCAACTATAAGATTCATATACTTCCCAGACATAAGAAGTATTTGTAATTACTAAAAATAGAAAATAAAAAATAAACTGGTCTTGGCTTTTAAATAAAACTAACAAAAATATAGTAAATTAATTTCATTTTCATTAAAACAAAAAAAAAACAGTTCCTGTGGCAATATCCTTTGCTATATGAACTAGTGATTAGCTCATCTTCACAAACAGCGCCTGTAAAATTGAACCACAGCAACACACATTCCTTGCATGTTTGCTGCCCCTTGATTAGACCTCTTGCTGTACCAGTACAGATTATTTTTGCATGTTTGTCAGCAATACTGAAATAAAATACACTTGCAATCACAACTGTTTCTTCAACCTCCATTAATTAGAAAATATTTTCCTTGTCACTTTTTTTTCCTCAAAAACCTGAAAGAAAATATGATCTTGAGGGTGGAATGTTTTTGTTCCAACTTCAATAACTGGCCGTGGAAGACCAAGAACCAATTTGCTGCAGAGTTCAGTTGAAGGTGAAGGAGAAAAGTAATGAAGTTGACATGCACTGTACAAGAAACTGCAAAAAATCCAAACATTTTCTTTATCAAAACATGCTGAGTTACTGTAAGGTGTGCCCAAGCCATGTTGCAGAAAATCCTTTTCAACATGCTTGTCAAACAAATCAAATCCAAAATAAAATACATAGTGAAACAATACAGAGGTGTAAAAGAACCGACAGTCCTAAAATCTGGACAAGAATGGTAGCAATGACCAGTACAATGAGAAGTACCCTGGGACAAGGAAGAAAAAGAGAAACATGTACAATTTGCACATAATGTTTATCTTTATAAGGCATAAGCCTTTTACAATAAAATAAATAATTAACATTTATTTTCATTATCAGTTTTTGTCACATAAACATTTTCTGTTAAGTAACTCCAAAAGTTTCTGTTAGGTTTCCCTTATCTGCACGTCTGCGAAACGCAGACTTGTGAATGGTCTAAAGAATAACAATGTCTTTTTTAATCACAATGTTGCATTCGCTCCCCTTGAAAACCATGCACTAATTAAAATTATTCTTGAAAAATAATATAAATTGTTGAAAATGGCTGATCCGTTTTATTTTTCTCTATCTTTTTTGCAAGTTGCAGCCTCAAGAAAATAATTTTCTTTTTTTATTCAGCTAAATTTGTGTCCATGCAAATGAAGTAAAAGGGAAAAAATATTTTTTTTTCTAATTTATTTTTCATACAATATATCAACAGAGAAAGAAAGATAGTAGATTGTACATTTTTTTTAGGGGGTTTGGATTGTTACTGTAGATTCTGGAGTGCTGATGTGAGCCACGTCAGGTGATTAACCAGTACAGTTTTATCCAGTACATAAACACAGAGTACGTGGGGCATTTCTTTTGGGTTCTGGGGAGCGTGGATACAAGCTGGGACATACCTCACCCAAGTCACGGTCTGCAAGAACCCCATCTACACAGCTAGGTCTGTTGGCGTGGCGTGACCAAGCATTTTGTTAGGAACACTGTCGCCCCATTCAGATACAAGTACATTGACATATTAAAAAAAAAAACTGAAAGCAAAACAAAAAAATAAAAAAATCTAAGCAAAACATTTATTTTTCATTCAAAAAGGGCTTCTGTAGAACTTGTTTAGCAGTTCCCAGTACTGACCCCCATGGCTTCAAATTGGATGAAAACCTGGAACTGACAGATTCCTCGTGCTAAGGAGTTAATTCCAGCTTCCTCCAAAAAACAACAACAGCACCTGGCAGCCCCGGCCGCCAGGCGCCTGCAACACGCTTTACCATGTGCACGCTGTGTGCGACATTTTTGCTCAAAATCACATCTGCACCCCTAGAAACAGGCTCAGAAGACACAACATCAAGCATGCAGTGTAACCGGGGAGCGTGACCTGGAATCGCAACACTGGCTGCTACAACAACGCTATCAGTCCACATGCTGCTATGATCGAGAGAAACTGTCCAGTGAGGACTGGGAAGCTCTTCTTGTCAGTGGGGCCAGCGTGGGGTCCACCAGTGAGGAAGGAGGAAAGAGCTTGAACCAGCCAATCACCATGTTGGACAGGTCCAACTCATCTAACAGTATCTGAACTGCTCCCATGAATGATTTATGGTCCATACGTCCATAGTCACCCCATACAATGACCTGCAAGGAAGAACACAAGGAGTTAAAACATTACTCAAAGTGTAGACATGGTAAGACTGATTCTAAGCTTTTACTTGAGTTACTGTACGACCTCACTGTCTAAAAGAATCATCTACCTGTAAAACCTTTCCTCCCGGACTCTCCTCAAACGGCAGTTGCTGCTGGTACAGAGGATCCAAGGTTTTTCTTGCTACTTTTGTTTTCTTTTTGGCTATGCAGACACCGTTTTCTAAAAGGTAGACCTTTACATATGGTGCTGAGAGCAGAGAAGAGCAAGTTTTATAAATTGTATCACTCACAATTTATCAACATTTACGACAAATTTATTATCAAAGTGTACAATGCCTGTAATGGTGGTGTGAGAACTTAAACTACCTGGCAGTGCCTTAGAACCTGGTTTTCCCACAAGGCCACGGGCTCTGATGACCTCCACCTCCAATGCTCCCTTCTTCTCCACCATGCCAATCTGGATGTCACCTGATCAATAAACACAATAGATTGATATTTTACGGTATGAAATCAGGATGAAACTTACAAGATGATTAATCTCGGTTCATTAAATTTACGATTCTACGTGCACATAGCTACTCCCAGGATGAAAGTAAAAGTACTGAATAAAAAGATTCCTGTTCTCACCCATAGATGGAGTAGCCAATGTCTGTCGCCCAACCAGCTGGGCAGGGCCCAGTCCATCCAGGAAGTCACTGAACTGGGCGTCTGAGGAGAGCCTCACCCCGGGGAAGATCAGACTGAAACAGAGGAACACACACTGTTTAGCACAGCACAGCCATCTTGAGTAAACAAGACAAAGCTTTAGGCCAACAGGTGGCTGTAGCCTATCTCATCTACGGAGGAATAGGAAAAGTGAAGCCTAATATGAGCCGTCAATCAAGTTTTGAACTCTTTGCTATGTATGTGCCAACTGTTCCCAGTAAAATAAGACTACAAGCTTTGTGACTGTCCTCAGAGTGTGAGTCCTTGTCTCCTTACTTTCCCTCAGAGCTGTAGCTGTTCATGCTGCCGTCTGTGGACTCCCGGCTGGCCTGCCGAGTCATCCTGCTCCTCATTTCCACCGCCAGACCTGTCTCTGTACTCCGCTGGATAGTGCTGCGCAGCTTCTTACCTCCGGCTTCTGCTCAAAGAACGACACATACCAAGAAAGAAAGAGAGAGAGAAAGAAAGAGGGACGTGAACTCTCAGTTATTTTGTGAGTCGCATTCACATGGATTATTACTCACATACCCATACTTTCAGTGGCTCATAGAAAAACTAAACACCAACATCAACTGAACTGGAAGCCATCTCTACACCAAGACATCTGTGTTATTTATTCCAGGAAGCAGCATAACAATTTTACTGCGACAATCAAACATCATCATCAGTTCCACAAGCTCTACAGAAATCTGGTTCTTTGTGTATCTATTGGGCCGAACAACATGTACAGCCCTCATGTGGTCTGTGCCAGATTGCCAGCCATCTTGTGGAAACTGTAGCGAGTCCACACTCCACCAAACACCCAATCTTAACTGATCCAAAACGACAGCCTGACACCCCCAATTAGCCCTGATGCTGCCCATCTCCACCCAGCTTCTCTGACATCCTGCATGGCCGCACCTGTGGCAGATATATACATACATACCTACACGAAAGTACACTATGAATGCTGCACTACTCAAAACACACCTGGCAATCACACACACACACACAGCATCACTACCATTGTATGTGTTATATTATATCTCAGTGAAAAAGAGGACAGCAATGTGCCTTCATTCTGAGCACAGAGCCAGTAATCAGAACATACAGCATAAATGCTTAGGAGCTTAAAATGAACTCAAGAGCTAAAACCCACAGTGTTGTTGCATTAGATAATTCACTTCATATTCAGCCATTAAGTCCTGTTAAACAGGTATTATAGCACCTGAAAAAGGTTTAAAATCATGTCATACATGGCTGTGCAACCAAAGATGAACTAACTAAATGTTATGACACATATCTATGGCTGTGCAACCAAAGATGAACTAACACTAAATGTTATGACATATATCACAGTTATGCAACTTCTTCTTCTTTTTTCCACAAATGAATGCAGAATAGCACCATTGTGTTATTTCCCAAAGGTCAGAGAATCATTGCAAAGCCATATGAAAGTAACAAGACAGAGTTTCACTTTCAGGTACAAAGTGATGGTAAACGATAGGCTACCTATTCATAGAGCCAGTATGATTTTCACCTTCTAATTTTGTGAATGTATGAATCATGTCTAGACCTGTACAGTATTCCTAATCACCAGTGGGCCCTCTGTGGTCCTTTCAGCCTTGAAACCTCAGTTATTCAGCCACCCTGCCTCCTCTTCCTGCTCTTCACACATTACAATAGAGAACACAACCTCAGAGGTCATCTCTGACGTTTGCAGCAAGCCGCAGCTCGTAGATCTCATCTGCCAGTCAGATGTTATCAGTGAACACTGATGTGCCATTTTCAAAATAGAGAATCGATTCTCCTGCTCTGCTCCACAAATCCTGACATGTAGGCGTTAGAGTTGCTGATTTAAATCACATGCATATGCTATCCTGCTTCTGTAATCTCAACACATAGGTAATTATAATGTGCAACCAAAGGCCGCTGAAACCATTCTCACTGCAAACTGTAACAGACTGATCCATAAATGCACCATGGCATAGACTTTCATTTAAAGGCTGTGAATCTGAAACAGTTCCCAGTTAGTGAAACAGTTAGTGACAAAAATACGCACACAACTGCATTTAAAGGAATGGCAAGTCTGGTAATGTGTCAAAGATGAGAGCATTATCAACACTGGTTGCACCGGTTACACTTGTGCTTTTGCTAAGCACCTGGCAAGCCTCAAGCTGCCTAAAACTGGCAAACTGGCTCAACACCAAAAGGGTCAAGTCTCCACCCTTTCCAGACAGGAAAGACAATTGACAGAGTCTAGTGGAGCTGCTTGGCTGCCAACAGTGGAAGTGTGAGCATCTTGGGAGGCATAGACATAAACACATATGGCACAGTAGGCCTCATTACTACTGCTCATGAAATGTGAAGCAACAGTCAATGAACAACTTTGTATTTCTAAGCCAAATAAGCACTGCCATACACAAAATACTAAACAATGACTCATTCCACTTATGAAATACTTTGTTGCCATTCACAGAATCACATTTCAAAATGATCAAGGGGAAATGAGATGTTGCTGGTTAGACAAGCACGAGAAAAGTGTTTCAGCAAAAAGACTGGTTTCTGTACGCATCTATGATAACAGCACCACCGCTGTCTGCTCTGGAGATGCAGACAGAGCAGACACAACTAATGCAGCATATTATCACAGTGACATTCTAATTAAACTAATTACATCTTCCAGTCCTCCCCACAATCAATACCTCTGCATCTTCCCACTACTCCTAAATCCATCTCCTCCCTCACTGCTGCTGTGACATTTCCTCAGTTGTCATCTTACCTCCATCCTCCTCATCGAAGGAGTTCATGCAGGGGAAATAGACAGCCAGTGCCTCAAATGATGCAGACAGACTCAGCTTGCTCTGGGAGCACTGCATACGCATCCCAGGAGTTGGAGCAGCGGTATCATGTCCCTGCCTGCCCATAGTGACCGCCGGCCGTCCTTCTCAGTGCGGTAAATTGTAAGCACTCGATGACAGCTTTGTCGCCTTTAACTGATATTACTAGGTAAAGGTAAAAAATCAACTCAAATCTAATGTCAGATAAGCACCTAAGCCCAGTAGTTGCTGTGCTGTAGGAGATCAGGTCTGTGTTATTATCTAGTCTGTTCTTGGATGCTCTGCAGACTGCATCTTAAGGAGAGCTTTAGAAAAACGTTGCTTCAGCAGTCAAGCCTTGTGCTGTCTGGGTCTGATGTCCCTGCTGCACCTCTTTCCTCACAGGGGGGAGGGGAGAGAACCGCATCGTGCTCCACCAATCAGAGAGCCAGGCTGCTGAGGCGCACCGCGGCTGGCTCTGCATGTGAATGAGTTCTGCCTAGAGAGCTCTACCCACCCCCCAAGTTTGTTTCTCAGTCATTTTTATACCTCTTATCGTTTTTCTTCTCTTTTGCCTTACTCATGCCATTTTGTGTTTTTGTGCTAATCATCATTGTTTTCCTTTCCTCTTCGTCCTCTTTCCCACCATCCCTCCCTTTCCCCATCTTATTTACAGGGTCCAGTGAAAACAAGCTCTAATTGGGTCCACCAACAGCTGTGCTCCTCTATGAGCGAGCTTCACCTACATGGCAGTCAAAGTTCATGTGCCAAACTCTGCTTCGCTTTCTTTCTATCATTACCATGATATCACAGTAATGTGTTCGGACTGTTGCTGCTTACATACTCAACCTGAAACTTCATCTATCCCACTTCCACACCCATTGTTACACAGATATGGTGTGTCAGTTTCCCTTGAACAATCACAAAGCACTTTGTTTGAATTAGTGTCAAACTTACCTAAACATGAACCTTTTCCCCTCTGTTTCTACCATTTGTGGACACCTATGTCCAGCCTGTTATAAACAGTCCACAACAGAGACACAACACTGGAATTCATTACAAAAAGCTCTTCACTGGTGGTCTCTGAAATTGTTAGAAATCTGCTGCTGGCATGACATGTGACAGATAACACAGGAAATGTATGGCTTCTAACTTGAACACCTCTGACACCACTGCAGCTTGGTTAAAAATATCCAATGAAACAGTGCTGCTTTGACATGATGCCTGAGAACCAAATGTAGTGCTTTTGCTCTGAATATGTATCCAGCAGAGCAGGCACAGGAAGAGACAATTATGGTGCTTCTCTGCACAGTAATAAATATAACAAGCTCCCTGTAGTGTTAATGCTGAGGCAAAAGTTCCTTTAAGAGACACAGCAACCTACTTCCACAAAGGAGCCACTTAACGCATGGCATCCACTTGCAGGTTTCATCTAGGACACACGCACACAAAACAACGCTTCACATCTACAGCTAGGGGAAAACTGCACAAACAGTTACAGCACAACCAGCTGGCTCATTTTTTTGTGTGCCCTCTGAGAGTTGTTCCTTATGAACGAATACAATTTGCCAGCAGAGTTAAAGCTAATGCTAATGCTTCGGTGACATTAGGTTACAGAATGTGTGCATGACTCAAACAATGCCAATGTAAAGAAGTTCTATCTTTAGTTTTTAGCCATAATAGCAGTGTGTATCTCGGGTGGTCAGTCCACTACTTCCACAGTGGTGGAAAGTAACAAAGTACATTTGCTGTACTGTACTTAAGTACAATTTTGAGCTACAGTATCTGTACTTTACTTGAGTATTTTCATGGTACTTTGTACCTTGACTTCACCACATTTTAGAGGCAAATATTGTACTTTTTACTTCACTACATTCATTTTATAATTTAAGTTACTTTTCACAAACAGCTTTATACAAAAATTACAGTATAATCATAAGACTTTATTGATCTCCTATGGAAGATTTACAAGCTACCCAGCAGTAGTTCAAATTGTAAGTAAACAATTAAACATTAGCTCCACCTTTACAAGCTGCAACATTAAATGTGATGAACACCAATGCATCAACAATTATGATATCATATTCATTAATGTTAAATCTGTCATTTTGTTAATGAGTACTTTTACTTATAGCACTTTAAGAGCTAAGATACTTTGTATTTTTACTTAAGTAGCATTTTGAATGTGGGACCTTTATTTATAACAAAGAATTTTACTGCTACTTTTACTTAAGTAAGGGATCTGAGTACTTCTTCCACCACTGCTACTGTGGTTCACATTGAAATATACCTCATAAAGTTGCTAGCATCACTTTACATTTCTATTTATATACAAAAACTGTGGCAAATGTTTAATACTAACAACTAAAGCTCAATCACTATCCATTCTCTTTAACAGGCTATACCACATAATACTAGGTTTAAAAAAGGGGGAAACATTATTTGTCAGGTGGCTATGAGATAAAAAAAACTAAAGGAATATTTGTACCGTACACACCAACACACTGGGCTTGCCACACCCAAACTGACATATGGTGGCAACAGGAGATTCTGTTAGATACTGTTTTTAGTGCTTTGCTCTTCACTCATCTACAGTAAAAACTGAAAAATGGTGTCATCC